AGTCAGGAAAGTGAAGAGGCAACTGACAAAATGGGAGAAATCATTTGCAAACTATCTAACTGATAAAGGATTAATAACCAGAATATATAAAGAGATCACAAAACTCCACAACAACAAAACAAACAACCCAGTTAAGAAATGGGCAAAGGACATAAACATACATTTTTCAAGAAAGGAAATCCAAATGGCCAAGAGACACATGCAAAAATGCTGAGGATCACTAGCTGTCAGGGAAACGCAAATCAAAACCACAATGAAATTCCACCTCATTCCAGTTAGAATGGCTTTCATCCATCAATCAATAAACAACAAATGTTGGCAAGTATGTGAGGAAAAAGGTACCCTAATCCATTGTTTTGGAAATGTAACCTAGTAGAGCCACTATGGAAGCGAGTATGGAGGTATCTCAGAAATCTTAATATAGACCTACATGATCCAGCTATCCCACTCCTGGGAATTTACCCAAGGGAAATGAAATAAGCAAATAAAAAAAGTTACCTGCACCCTCATGTTTATCACAATTCAATTCATAATAACTAAGACCTGGAATCAAACTAAATGCACGTCAATTGAAGACTGAAAAAAGAAATTGTGGGATATGCACTGTATGGAATACTGCATAGAGGTAAAAATAAAAAATTAAATCTGGTCATTTACAACAAAATTGATGAATCTGGAAAACATCCTGCTTAGTGAAATAAGCCAGTCCCAAACGTACAAATACCATATGTTCTCCCTGATCTGTAATAGCTAACAGAGCCCTTAAAAGGAAACCTGTAGAAGTGAAATTGACACTTTGAGGAGCAATGACTTGAACAGCCCTTGTCTTGACTGTAAAGGAACAATTTTTTTCTTCTTCTTAATACCATTGGTTGATCACTTTATTTAACATAGAATTAATCATATGTGTATAAGTCAACTGAAAACAGATCCCAGTAAAAAATAAGAATGGGAATAATAGAGGGAGGAGGAAGTTTGTAACTGTAGAGCTGAATAGTTATGCATACATTTCTATAGACTTACCTCTAAGGGTACAGCTAAAAACTTGTCATGGGGCTCCAAATCCCATTAATATGGGTGGTAATAATGCCATCTTAAGTGTTAAAGTGATATTATGTTAAATTGATCATGTAGATAGGATTAAGTGTTCAAGGGATCATATATATATAAGATGAAGTGTCTGGTAATAACAATAGATAGAATGAAAAAGGTGAGAATGTTCCAACATGGGAAACAGTCTACACAGCAGACTCACAGCATGACAATCACTCTAAATCACACTCTGACCTCAGTGTCAACCCTTAAGGCATTCTGGTCTGGCTGAAAAGCATGTGCGAGCATTGCAGGCATGGAAAACCAATACACTGTGGCAAAAAATGTCCTACATGAAGATCTCTGTGAGTCAGACCCCAGTGGAAAGAGAGGTTCATCAAAGAAGGATGTACTTTTCTCTAAAGGGATGAGAGAACTTCCACCTTACTTATGGCCTTGTCTAAATACTGAAGGAGATTGTGGATTCAAAAGGTTCTCATAGCCTTGACAGCTCATGTAAAGAGCCTCGGGTGATTACTGACATCATACATAAGAGTTTTAATTGTTAAATTAACAACAAGAGTCACTGTGCACATATTCTCCATGCAGGACCTCTGTCCTCAATGAGTTATATTATGAGAATTAATTGTAAAACTTGTTCTCAAACTGTTTTTTACATTTTGTGTGCGTGTGCAAATTGTTGAAATCTTTACTTTCTATAGAGTTGGTCTTCTGTGCATAAAGTTAATTTAAAACAGATTTTAATGGAGAATGGGACTGATAATGGGAGAGGGAGGAGGAGGTTGGGTAGGAGTGCAGGTGAGAGGGTGAGTATGGGGGGAAGAATTCAGAAATTAGAATTATGTGGATAATTTTGTTCCTCTAATTTGTATTCATTAAATAAAAGGTTTCTTTGGACAAAAAAATTCATTGTTGATTTAATTTGCAATTCAATAACTAAAACGATGTTATAATTTTTGTATACTTATTTGTTACCACTGTTACTTCTTGAGGAGGTGTGGATTCAGATGTTTTGTGTATTTTCAAATTGTGTTAAATACTTTCTTAGATTTCATCTTAAATATTTAAAGATTTCATCTTTAAATATAAGTCTGTTATTAGATATATGTTGCATATATTTTTCCAAGTATGTGGCTGTTATTTCATTTTATTAACAGTATACCCCATAGTTTATTTTAATATAGTTCAACTTATCAAGTTACTTTCATGTATTGTATTTGGTGGCTTAGCTACAAACTCATCATTGAATCACAGCCATATAGATATTGACCAATGTTTTCCAGAATTTTTACAATCTTACATTTTATATTGAGGTATACTGTGCATTGATCTTTGTGAAAGGTCAAAATTTTGCATCCAGATGCACTTATTTGCAAAAATTCAAGTCTAATATTTTCTATTGTGGTTTAACAGACTAAGCTTTCTTCACTGAATCATCTTTGACCTGTTTCAAAAATCAGCGTTTTACAATAATTTGGGTCTGTTTCTGGATTCTTTATTCTGTCCCATTGATCTATGTGCATACTTTTTTCCAATACCAAATACTCTTAATTTGTATCTTTACACTAAGTTTTATATTGGGCAGCAAGAATCATCTAACTTTCCCATATTTTAAAATTTGCACTGACTATAATTGGCTTTCTGCATTTCTACATAAATTTCAGAGACAGTTTTGTTTTGCAAACAAAACTTGGACAGAGACTTCTATACTTATCTGGCTGCAATATTTCTATGTATTTTTCTATGTATTTCCTTCCTTCCTTCCTCCCTCCCTCCCTTCCTTCCTTCCTTCCTTCCTGCCTTCCTTCTTTCCTTCCTTCCTTTCCTTCTTCCTTCCTTTTCTTTCTCTCACTCTCTCCATATATATATATACATATATATATATTATACATATATCACTTTCATCTTAACCCAGTGAAGTTTGTCATTAAATGTCTGAACACAGAAGTCTTAACTTTGATAATTTCTAATTTGTATTTTTGTGTGTATGTATTGTGTTTTGTTATTTTACCTAAAACGTATTTCCCTAATCCAAGGTCATGAGAACTATATTGGTTTTTCCTAAAACTTCCCTAGTTGTAGGTTTTACATTTAATTTTATGATCCATTTTCAATTAAGCTTTGCTATAGCATAATGTATTGACTGAATGTTTTTCTGTTTCTCAGGGAAGTTCAAAAGGATGTCCCAGAATTTTTGGTTGAAAAGTTTACACCTTATGCATTAAGTGAAAATGCACTGTTGTCAAAATCAACTGATTATATATATGCAAATCTATTTCTGGGATCTCATCTGTTTTGTGTAATCATGTGAAAGGTCATTTTGCAAATATTTCATTGACTTGATTATATAAATTGGATCTGTGTTAAATGACTTATCATCAGAAACAATTCAAACTAGAAGACAGAGGAATAAAATATTTAAAATGTTGAAATTATAAATCCACCAAATATTTTATTTTATTAGTTGCATTTTTATTTTCTGTGATAAAATATTTTGAATTTACATTATAGTCAAAAGCTTATTGCTCCACTAAATAATGTGTTCAACAAATGAAACATAAAAACACCATAATTTAGCAGGAATATAAACGAGGGCTATTCACAATAATCTAATGAAAAGATGTCTATTTCACTCATAAAAGGTAAATTTTAAAATAGTCAAGATCATTAAAATTAAAACAGCAGATCATTCTTAACAATTATTTTGGTGAAGATATGAGTATACATATAATAAAATTAATTTTTATTGTATTACAGCTTTAGCAGTCTTAACCAATTTACAAGGTTAGGTACACCACAACAATTAAGATCTGAGACATTTCAATCACTGCAAAACATGCCTTCTTCTGGACCTTTATAGTAATAGCCTTAAAAATGAAAGAGAAGCAAATTCATACTCAGGAACGTATTCAGAAAAGGAAGGAAAATCTAGGACCAACAGACATGCAACAGAAGAAATGATAAAAGTAGCAACTTAGGGCCAAATATATTTTACTGGATGGAAAATCAGGATCAACAGTAAAAATTCAGAAATTAGATTTATGTGGATAATTCTGTTCCTCTATTTTGTAATTTCTTTAAAATACAGCAGGCATACCATTCTTAAAAATGCAAAATTTTATATCCACATTGGGAAACAATTTGACAGTTTTCTAAAAAATCAAACATATCTATTGCATATGACCCAGCAATACTATGCTTTGCCCCCCAAAAAGAGAAAATTATTTTAATATAAAACAGCATATCATTATTGACAACACCTTTAGTCCTAGTCTCTGAAAACACTAAAAAGAATAATATTTCTTCAAGTAGTAATGGATTATTAAAATGACATATTCATAATGTCATACTATTGGAACAAAAGGAACAAATTTTTGAAACACAGAAATAGGGATGACTCAGAAGTGCAGTTTTGTAAGTGGAAAGAGTCAGAAAGGAATAGACTGCATACTGAGTGATTTCATTAGTCAAACATTTTGAAAAGGGCCAATTTATAGGGGCTGAGAACAGATTAGTGGTTCCCATTGTTTATTCCAATAAACTACTAAATGATTTTTATGAATAAAAATCAGAGAATTCATTACCAGACAAGCTGTACTCTAAGAAATGTTTAAAGATATGCTTCACTTCAGATGCTGTTATTTTTAGCATTGGTAAGTAGGCACTCCTTCCTATGCTCAAACACTGGAATCTTTGCTTGCTACCCTGTCAGCTGGCATACAAACAAGAAGCCAGTAATTTTAAGATCGTTTTTTTTTTCTTTATTTTTTTGACAGGCAGAATTAGACAGTGAAAGAGAGAGAGAGAGAGAGAGGACTTCCCTCCGTTGGTCCCCCCCCCCCCCCATTTTAAGTGAACAACTTGCAAACCTCAGGAGTGGAAAAACTCTAAGAATGCACAATTGTGAGAATTTGCAATCATCACAACTGTAGCTAAAGACTGTTGATGTCATTTGTCTGAAATATTTCAAAGCAGTATATATTTCAGAGCAGAAAATATAAAGAGCTTACCAAAAAACTGTCGTAGCACAATTTCTCCACCAATTTGTATGTGTCAAGCATTTAGCTAACCTTCCCTCTTGAAAAATGCAACAGAGTACCAGACACCATGTTTCACTATTTCTGTAAAGGTTCACAATAACAGTGGTTACAACTCAAGTATACAGTACCAGCAATGCAGCCCAGAGCTAGTTTATAAATTAAGCTTTTAATACCAAGTAAATAGCTTTCCACAAACATTAGTGCAAATGGAAATTTCTAAATGTGGGGAAAAACAAATGCAACTTCAATCTTCTGCTCTGCTTCTTCTGATCCACATATCATGCCTGGAAATTTGTGGGGGATTGGGCGTGCTGAACCTGCCCACTGCAAGATGTCGCCGGCTGTGCTGCTTTGTGCTGTAACCATGTCCAGTCAAAGGTGCAGTCACACGGGTCATTCAGGGTCTCAAAAAGACTGCGGAATAGCTGCCTCAGATAATTGTAATCCGGAGTTTCATCAAAGTGCAGTGCACGACAATATTTTAAGTATGTGGCAAACTCTGCTGGAAACCCCTCACATAAAACATCTACAGGAGTGGACATCTTCATTTTCATAACCTTTTCATTGCGTTGTTCCTTTGTGGTAGCCTTTATTCCTTGCCATGGCAATCTGCTTGTATTAAAATACATCAAAACATAACCTATTGACTCCATGTCATCTCGGCGACTGTGCTCAAAACCAAGATGAGCATTGATGCTAGCATATCGGGGAGTGCCAGTGAGGTATTTATATTCTATGCATGGTATGTGTTTCCTTGTACTACTGGATATATACATTTTGGCCAAACCAAAATCAACAAGGAATACTTTATTGCGGTGGCGCCCGGTACCAATAAGGAAGTTATGCGGCTTAATGTCTCTGTGTATGATGTTCTTTGTGTGAACGTATTCAATTCTACTGATCATCTGGTCAGCCAACATAAGAACAGTTTTTATGGTGAACTTCCGAGAACAGAAATTGAAGAGGTCTTCCAGGTTAGGTCCCAGAAGATCCATGACTAGGGCATTATAGTCTTTATCCTGACCGAGCCACCTTAAGCGGGGGATGCCAACCCCACCCTGCAGAAGCTTGTAGAATTTGCCCTCATATAATAACTGGGGATGCTTGGCATCCTGTGACTCTAGTTTCACTGCCACTTCCTCTCCATTGGTGATATTAACCGAGAGATAAACTACTCCGAAGGAGCCGGACCCGATCCTCCTTACCAGTCTGTATTTCTCTCCCACGATGAATCTGGACTCAGCACTGCTGAGGGTTGCCATCCTGACAGAAGATGGCGGCGGCAGCGGCGGCGGCTAAACGGCCAACACCTCTCAAAGGATGATTGAGGCCTCTGGCGTCATCTAAAGGCCAAGGCTATGGAGCAGGGCAGCGGAAAGCAAAGTAAAAAACCAAGCCCTTTCCCGCTGATTCAGGGCTCAAAATCAGCCAACCTAGACCCGATCACTGTGGCTCAGGTTTCTCTTGGCTTGGCCACCAAAGGTGAGGGATCAATTTCTAGGCTGGGCCACTTCTTTCTGGACAGCTGTGCTGCCTCACTTCTGTGGCAATATAGCCGGCTAGAAAGGTGCTCAGTGATTTCGGCTGGCAACACCACTGCTGCCACTGCCAGCAGCTCTGGCTCCACGGAATTCTCATTACTCTGTCTCCGCCGCCATCTTGTTACGCCAGTTCCAGCCAACAGAACAAGTCCCAGATGTTAAAAGTCGCGTCTTCCTAGTGCAGAGCATTGTGGGAAGGGGCTCGTGCCGGTATTTTTAAAAAGCACATTTATATTTTCTTTACAATTTTTAACGTACATATTTCAAACAAATGCTAAATTGAAAACAGCTCGCATTCCTCAATTGTTTCTAATGGTAATGTCTTACATAACTATAATATATTATAAAGCCCGAGAAATTGACGTTGACATAATATAGCTAATTAAGCTACAGATGTTACTTAGAGGTCACCAGTTTGTATGCATCCTGTGTATGTCTGTATTTGTATAATCACAACAATCAAGATAGATAACTTTCCAGAATTAATAGGAATTCCCTTGTGCCACATCCACGTAATTGCATCCCTTCTCCTAATCTGTTATAAATACTATTTTTCCATGGCTATAGTTTTGTCATAGTTTAATAGTAAGGAAGGTTTAATGGTAAGGAAGAGGATGTTAACAAGTTACTGTTAGGACTATCCAGTGTATCTCACTCTACAGAATGATCACCAACTATCCCTACATGGACATGACTGTAGCATGGAAATAAGAAAGTACTCTTTGAAGTGTATAGGAAGGACAGTTTCATATTACCCATGCCATTATTCCCCCAACCCTAGGTAGCACAGTATGGAGTGAGATACACACATGAGTGATGGGGTGAGAAATAATCAAGGGAAATAGCCAGACCCCAAAATTAGGACCATACCAGTTAAATGCAGTATCAGACAGGCCCCAAAGCCCACTGTTCCACTTCAGTTCCTAAAAAATGAGCCTGCAGTCCTGCTTCAGCACCAAGTACTCTCCTGTAGCACCTGGCTCAGGCCTGTGTGAAAGACAAGTCTCCAGACCAGGCAATTCAATAGCTCCAGGCTTCTAACCTGCCTCATTGCTGGGGTGGCTTATGCAATCCTAGTCATCGGGTTAGTACTGGAAGACTCAGCTTTCAGACTATCTTCTGTGGATATAATTCCAGACTCATAATACACCCAGCTAGTTCCTGCAGCCTCAGCGATCAGGTGCAACCCAGCACAATTTCAGCACTTTTGGCCTCAAATACCAGGTAGGAAACTATAGACACCAGCTGCAAGTCTGCTTAGTCCCAAACCATTCTCCATGGCTCCACCCTCAAGGCCAGCTCTGATGGGAACCTGCTTCAGCAGACCCATGGTCCAAGCCTATGATAGTATTCCCCACTGCTTGTCTGGTGCTCATGGACTCAGATTCCAGGACCATGCCAGGGCACACAAGTCCAAGGCCTGGACAGTATTACTGGTGCAGAGCTTTCCCAGACAGAGTCATTCTACAGAGTCTGGAATCAGTCCTTATTTCTTCAAATGTGTGGCCATCAACATATGGCAAAAATAAAGGTAAGGACACAAGAAGATATGACATCACCAACAGAGCCCAATAATCCAGTACCTACCACCAAAGAAATGGAGATAAAACAACTGCCTTAGATAGAATTCCAATGAATTGTTTTAGGATAGCTCAGTAAATTTCAAGAAAATATATAGAAACAAGAGAAACAATTCAATTATATCAGGAAGTCAAATGAACCAAATGAGAAATTTAACAGAGTTTAAAATTTTGGAGAGAACTATAAAGTATATGATCTTTTAAGTTTTATTTTATCTCATCAAATTGCCTTACCATTCACCAAAATTGTTGTGTGTATCAGTCTCCAATTCCATTTTATTGATGAATACTGCTACTTGTTTGGATATATTAAAGTTTGTTTAACCATTCACCTATTGAAAGTCATGTGGCTTGTTTATAATTTTGGCTATTACAATAAAGTTTCCATAAATATTCATATTTAGGCTTTTGTATGGATATAAATTTTCTTTTCTCTAGAACAAATTTACAGAAGTGAAACTTCTGAGTCATGTGGCAATTGCAAGTTTATAGGATATTGTATAATGAAGTAACAAAATTGTTTTTCAGGATAGCCTTGCTATTTTGTATTCTCAGCAGTAATCTATGATATAACCAGTTTCTTTCCATCCTTTCCAGCTTTTCCTGCTTTCAGGATTTTTTACTTCTGTTATTCTGATAGATGTAGAGAGGTATATCCTTGTGGTTTTGATTTCTGTTTCTCTAAATGCTAATTATTTTAAACATATCTTTCATGTGCTTATTGATCATCCTTGCATCTATTCTAATCAAGTTAAAACCTTTCAAGTTTTTGAATATTTACTAGAGTTCCTGTTTTTATTGCTGTATTTAGAAAGACAGTTTTTCATTAGTTTTTGTTATCATTTCTCCTTCATTTTCACCAAAAACATTCATTTGGGTGTTTTGCACATCTACAATTATTTCATGTGTAAGCATTCAGATCAAATAAATTTGATAAAAACTTGAGGGAAATATCAGAGCTCTTATGGCTTTGAGAAATCTATGATTTATATGCATATTTGGTTTCCATAAACACACCAATATATAAATAGGTAAGTATGTGTGTAATTGTGTGTCCATGTAAAATCTTTTGTTTTGCTCCTTTAGTAGGACTCTGCTTCAAACACTTGTATCAAAGGAAAGCAGGTGATTTGACTATTGACTTATAAAATGAGAAAGGTCTCTTAGTAAGACAACCAATCAAAACTCTGTCAGCATTGGTATTCATATGTAACCAAATTTGTGCCTTTTATAAACACAAGGGAAAGATTTATTAATGATAATTGTGGAGCTTCTATAAATAAGGAAAAATATTATTTTGTGTTAAGTGGCTACATAGAATTTTTTTTGGAAAAAGTTCAATCAGAAAGTCAAACAATGTACTCATGATATTGCTATAATTGCAGGGTGGAGTAGCCATTCACCAATGCTGTATCAGAAAGGGTTGGATTGAGATTACAAAAAGAACCAATATAATTCTTACTATTGATCTACATAGAAGAGCAAATGTTGCATGTTGATTTGTACCACTATAATTAAAATTAGGCTCAAATTTGCAGAAAAATATTGATGTTTACATTATATATCATAGACTGGAAATATGCCTTCCATTTCAGTCATGCTAAATCTTCAAAATTAAATAGGCTTTATAACAAAATGAAACTGAGTACTAATGAGAAGGGTAAATGTTTCACCATTTTACCTGTTTCATCAGATTAAAGGTTGTTCATCAAAATCTTAAATAGTAATGCAAAGAATATGAACCTGGAATTATTAGTAGACATAAAGGATTTGTTCACTAGGAGTGTTTACAAATAATCAACCTCAAGTGGGAGCCGCTCAGAGGAGTTTTATTTACCTGTGAAAAGTAAAGGAGAAAATGAGAAGATAGTGTTCCCTAAAGAAACTGCCTCTCCAAAGCATTTTGCTAGGGATTATATAATAAGTGTTAAGGGAGTGTCCAGGATGTGAACAGGGAGCAGGTGAGCAGGATGGCCCTTCCTGCTCAAGATACATACATCTTCATAGTTTGTGTGTTCAAATTATCTTACTCAAGCTGGTATCTTGAACATATCTTCATTTGTAGAGGTCTGGCATTATCTTAGTACAATCTTGAAAGATCCCTCCTTCAGTATTCTGTGAAAACTAAGTTTGAGGAAATAAACTGTTTTAGATTTTCTGCCCATGTTCCTGCAAATCCTTCTTGCCTAAAGCCTACCCTCTGGATTATAGAATTCATATATCTGTGGATTGGATTCAAATCCTGTTTCCACAGAATCTGTCAGCAATTTAGTCCTTAAGCTTTATTTTACTCAACTGTACACTTGGGAACATAATAAATCCTGAAATTATTGTAAGAACTATAAAATGTTTGTAAATATTTCTATGTTATTACAAATAGCTATGTTAATACATTGTAACCTGCTATGGTATGAAAAGAAAATGCCGCTGAATGCCTCCAGATGCTTAAACATCAAAGTCATAAGTAAAGGTACTAAGAGGGAGGGAACTTAAAAAATTCTGGTGTTTAGAAGGGAAGCCTAGTAGTAAGACCTTAGGTCATTGGAGACATGCCCTTGGAAGGCGATTCTTGCTAAAGGATTGTCTGTAAAAGCCTAAGCCTGTGCAAGCTGTTGTCTGCTTCCTGTCTTGCTTTGTGATCCTTTCTCCACAGGAACCCTACAATTGCCGCCCATTACTCTGATCAGACACCAAATCAACAAGGCCACCCAATCTTGGACTTGACCTTCCAAAGTTCTGGGTTAAATAAATATGTAATCTTTGTAAGTTTGTTATCTCAAATACTTAGTCATGGTAACAAAAACTGACAAATATATACAATGTTCTCCCATTTTAATAAATACAATGCACCTGTATATTCTGGTGCAAATAGGCATTTAAGTGAAACTGTAGGATCATAGAATTTACCTGTTGCAGTGCTTCATAAAATATTTGCAAATTTTTACCTATATTCTCATCAACATTTTCTGAGTTCCTCTTCATATATGTTTTTGCCAACTTTTGGTATTTTCATATTTTAATATCTATGCAGTTATATTACATGTGAATTTATAATTCATTATAATTCATTTTATTAGCATTTTCCTGATTGGTGATCATTTTGAGCACCATTTCACATATTTATTTGGCTATTTTGTCTCACTTTCACATAAATTTAGTCTTCGTACCTTTTGCCTATTTTTCACTGTTTTAATTTTTAGTTTTGCATATATACTAAGGGCATCATTCCAACTAACAGTGCTATCACCCTCCCCCGCTTTGTGCTTCTTCATTAAATGCGTTATATGTTCCTTTTTCCTTCATTCTCTTCCCTTCCAGTAGAATGCGAATTCCGACAGAACGAGAGAAATTTTTTTTCTGCTTTGCTCACTGCTGCATCCGCAACACTTACACAACTGTTGAGTATGTGATAAACAAATACATTCATTTACTGGATAAACATGTTGAATATATGTTCAGTACGTTGCAATGTGTATTGTGGTTCAATGTATTAACTCATCATTTGAGACACCAGAATACCATAT